GGGCGCTCAACAAGATAACCATCAAGAATTGCTACCTATTACCTCAGATTGATGATCTTATGGACCAGTTAGAGGGAGCGAGGTTCTTCATAAAGTTGGATTTGAAGTTTGGTTACCATCAAGTGAGGATTCGGGAGGATGACACTTGAAAGACTGTGTTCAAGACCAAACAGGGCCTGTTCGAGTGGTTGGTGATGCCGTTTGGATTATGCAACACTCTGGATTCCTTTATGAGACTCATAAATGATTTGTTACGACCCTTTATAGAGGATTTTGTGATAGTTTACCTTGATGATATCTTGGTGTACAGCAGGACCTGGGAGGAGCATCTTGTTCATGTGGAGAAAGTATTTAGAGTGTTGCAGGATGGACAGCTGAAGCTCAACGGCTCATAAATGATTTGTTACGACCCTTTATAGAGGATTTTGTGATAGTTTACCTTGATGATATCTTGGTGTACAGCAGGACCTGGGAGGAGCATCTTGTTCATGTCGAGAAAGTGTTTGAAATGCTGCAGAACGGACAACTGAAGCTTAATGGGAAGAAGTGCGAATTTGGAAAGGATGAGTTGGTGTATCTCGGCTTCATCGTGGGGAAGGGCCAGTGGAGGATAGATCTAAGTAAGGTGGCGGTGATCACGAAGTGGCCGACACCTAGGACAGTGACGGAGGTGAGAAGCTTCATGGGAGGTTGCCAGTATTTGTGCAAGTTTATTTGGCGTTTTTTGACTTATGCAGCACCTTTGCATGGCCTTACGAAGGCGAAAGTTCAGTTTGAGTGGGGGAGGACGCATGAGGAAGCTTTTCAGTTACTAAAGAGGAAAATCTCGGAGGCATCAGTGTTAGTATTACCGAATTTACAGAGGACCTTCGAGGTAGAGACCGACGCTTCTAGTTATGCTATGGACGCTGTGTTGATGTAGGATGGGAAGCCGGTGGAGTACCATTCAGAGATGTTCACGAGTGCTATTCAGAACTACCCCACCTATGATAAGGAGTTTTATGCACTTTATCAGGTAATCAAGCATTGGCGGGTGTATTTGTTGGGAAAGAAGATGGTTGTGCACTCGGATCACAAGCCATTAGAATTTTTACATGTCTATACAAAGCTGCAGCAGGCATGACACATGAAGTAGATGTCCTATTTGATGGCGTTTAACATCATCATCAGGTACAAGAAGGAGACGACGAACAAGTTAGCTGATATGTTATCTCGTCCACCTGTGAGGGCTCTCTTGGTGGCGACGCACATTTATCCCTTGGTTCCTTTGGAGTATGTACATATGTACACATCCAACAGAGACTTCAACAGTGTGTTTGAGCAGGCGAAGGCTGGTCAAAGAGGGGAGTATGAGATTGGTGAAGATGGTTTGTTGTATCGTGGGACATCGCTTTGTATTCCGGAGGATGGCGATCGATTGCAGTAGATTCGAGAAGCATATACATCACGTGTGCAAGGTTATTTTGAGATTTAGAAGATGCTTCTCAATCTACGGCACTATGTCTTTTGGCCAAAAATGTTGGAGGACGTTACTAAGTATGTTGAAGGGTGTAAGCTATGTTGCATATCGAAGCCTTCTAATAGGAAACATGGATTATATCTACCATTGCCGATACCTTCGTGACCGTGGGAGAGTATTTCTATGGATTTCATAGGAGGATTTCCAACAACCAAGCGCGGGCATGATTATCTGTTCATTGTGGTGGATCGGTTTAGCAAGATGGTGATATTGATTCCTTGTAAGAAGACCGTGACGGGAGCGGGTGCGACACAATTGTTCTTTGAGTATGTGTGGAAGCACTTTGGGTTGCCGAATTTGATTATTTCGGATCGAGATAGCCAGCTTCTTAGGCACTTTTGGGATTCTTTGTGAAACTTGATGGACATTAGATTGAAGAAGAGCACGACCTTTCATCCACAAACAGACGGACAAGCAGAGATGGTTAATCGGACTATGATACATATGTTGAGAGGATACAATTCTAAGCATCCCAATACTTGGGATGAGAGCTTACCATATCTTCAATTTGCATTTAATCGGGCTATTCATGAATATTCAGGGAAGTCACCGTTTGAGACTTGTTATAGGTTTTTACCTCCTAGTCCGTTCGATCTCGTATTTTCTAGTGAAGCTACGGCCGACGATAAGGAAGAGAGTGAAAGACAACGAGCTCAGCGATTTCTGAAGAAGATTGCACATATTCATGCTACGGTGGAAGCTCAATTGAAGAAATCACAGGCTAAGTACAAGGCGAAACATGATCCACATCGAGTTCCTTGTAATTTTGATAAATGTGATATGGTGTGGCTGAAGTTGGGTAAGGAGCGGCTAAAGGGAGAAGGGAAGAAGTTAAAGCATATATAATATGGTCCATTTCAGATTGTAGATCAAATTGGTAACAATGCATTCAAGTTGAATTTGCCACCTTATCTAGGCATGTATTCGGTGATCAACGCCGAGTATTTGAAGTTGTTTGAGCCTCCATTGTTAGATGATGAAGGTGATGACAAGATGATATTACCATATGTAAATGACTTATGGTTTAATAGAGAAGAACCGCTCAAAGAAGATTGCATTTTAGAATGGAAGGTGACTACGACGAGACGCAGGACGAAGGAGTCGTTTTTGATCGAACGTCAAGGTCAGGTTCCTAGCAAAATCAGGTGGTTCAACATAGAAGGAGAGGCTCGTGAGTTCCCTCAGCTATAGTTCTAACTTGAACGGGACTTCAAGTTCCTAAATGGGGGAGCCATGATACGGGTGTATCTTCTTCATTGCTTCGGGAGCTTAGCGATCCTCATGAAAGGTTGAGGATAGATGATTCTCATGGTATCTTAAGAATAGAGACGTGGATGAAGTTGTTGAAGGTGGAAACATCTAAGAGTACAGAAAAAACTATAGGAAATACTTTAGACTTCCAGCGGTCGACCGCACGTGACGCTGCGGTCGACCGCGAACGTGCACAGCTCAGGATAAGTCTCTGGACTTTTCGCGGTCGACCAAACCTTGTAATATTTTTTTAGTTTTTGTCGTTCTGTCCGGTCGACCGCACGTGTCTCTGCGGTCGACCGTGAGTCAGGCTGGGCCAGTTTTTAGTTTCCTGTTCGTTTTAGGTTTTGTGTTGGATATATATTAAAACACGATTTTTCTAGCGTTTTCTAACTAGATTGTATTTAGAAACGATATCAGGGAGATTGTTATTTGATCTAGAGAGATTGTGAGAGAGAGATTTGTAATCTATTATTTCTCATAATCTAGAAAATGTATTTTCCTTCGCCCAACTCAATTCTTTGTGTGTTTTCTATTGTCTTCTTCACAACCCACTCTTGATAATTTCGCGATCAAGGGTGCTCGTTCAGCGACTCGTATCAATAAACATGTTTCACCGTTATAATTACTATCACTCTAGCAGATGTTAAAAATAAGAAGTGAGGGTACAAGTAGATATATCGAAGGTGACGATTCAAGGAACACAATATGAAGAAGAGGTATCCAATAATAGCTATAATTATGTTCCAACAAAAAAAAGAAAAGAAAATACATCTGATAAACTGGAATAAGAACATCGAATCTTTAATACATAAGAGTCAACTGAAAAGTACAATGACACTCAGCCTCCAAAATGAAATGCATCTCTAAAAGAAAACTAAAATCATAAATTTTAGGAAGGGTCGAGTGCCGATGTTGCTCGAGTCGTCCTACCTAGAGTGAAGCCGATCTGATGCTTAGCTAGTATGGACGCGTGTCGGCTCCTTGGAAATGATTAACACTTAATCATTTCTGTATAATAACACCATCGTTAACCTATTTCATCTGAATTAAAAGTATATTATTCTTATCCTCGACTAAAAGTTTATTATGTCAATTCATGTGGACGTTAGCTTAGGCATAACGGATACACGAGTCTATAAAAAAATATAAAAATATTGACCTCAGGTGTTATAAAAAGAAATTCAATGATGCCTTTGTTATCCTTAAATTGCCAAGATAATGCAGAAGGAATAACATTAACGGAGTAAAATAATAATAATAAATTTGGTTATATATATATATATATATATATATATATATATATATATAAATCTGACATGAAATCTTCTTTTTAATATTACGCTTTCATAACCACTTATAATTAAACAAACCCGCAGTGTCCCCTTTCTCACTTCCCTCACCTTCGTACGATCAAAACACCCCCCTTAGGGGCCGTTTGGTTGTATATTTTTACCACGTAAAATGATGGAAAGTGCAAAAAAGTGGGTCCCAATGTCAGTTTTCATTACTTTACATTGTTTGTTTAAATTCTCTTTTACATGAAAAGCTTACACCTTTTGATGAGGTGTCACCGAAAGCAAAATCACAAAAATTAGGAGTGATTTTGTTGGAAAGCTTACACAATGTCATAAATATGTCCAAAAAAATAATAATAAAAATTAAAACCTTGTAGAAAGTGGTGAGGTGGATAATCACTTTCCATTTTGTGTCATAAATACTCTAGTTTACATTATACTATCCAAACAATGTAATACTATTATTTTAGGATTCACAAAGATTCCTAATCAAACAATGTAAACACTCAAATGAAAAATGATGAGGTGGATAACCACTTTCTATTTTGCGTCTTAAATCCTCTAGTTTCCTAAAGGCATCCAAACAGCCCCTTACTACGCGCAAAATACATCTCAGCCTAACAACCGAGTTGTACGTCGGTCCCCGCAAAATTCTGCGGCCTTTCCTCATCTGCTATTCGGCCCCAAACAGCCATCAGCTCCTACCTCGAGAACGGGAACCCCCGATCTCACGTGGGACCCGCGTGACCCTACGCGGGCAGGGGCTATTTATCGCGTGGCATTGTTGGAAGTGACGAAGCGTGTTACAAACGTGACAGCAGATCGTGCACTCACTTGTTTAACTTAACCAAAAAAAAAAAAAAAAAAGAAAAAAAAAAGGCCAAAGCTAGCACTTTCGTTGGGGAACATAAAAAGCCTTTATTTGCTGAAGAGGAGAATATTGACTGAAGACTAGAGAGTTATTATAAAGAGAGCATGGTAGCTTCTTTCTCCTTCCACCGATTCCTACGATTATAGAGAGCGAAGCAGAGGCCTGAGGGATGGGGAATTGCTTGGTTTCACGAGTGAAGTCTCTGAGCCCATCAAATACAAGGCCGAGTAGTCCAGGTGTCTATTTTCAAATTCTTTTTTGTTTTTTTTGTTTTTTTTAATCCTCGTTAGTTGTTATTTCAGCTATGTAGCATGCTTAGAAGGTGAAATTCTCAGAATTCTCACGCGGGGTCTTTTAGAATTCAATCCGAAGTCGTTAACTTTGAACGGAAAAATTTTAATCTTTGGATGAAATAAAATATGGGATTATTAGTGTCGCGCAATCCTTCGTCGATGATTTCCTTGTAATTCTGATACGGGCCTTTTTTTTGTTTTGTTTTTTTTCACTCGGAAATGTTTAATTTTGAGTGAAGTTTCTTCCTTCGTGATGAAACTAGATGTGGGTGTGCATCTGCAATCTTGGGTTTTTCTCGGCATGGTAGTTTTTTTTCTTATAATTCTGCAATTGGCTTTTTCAGAAGATAACCCGGGTCGCTAAATTCTGATAAAATTTCCACTTTTGGTAGTATTTGTTCGACCTTTATCGAAAATTTTGGTTTAGAGCATCATGTGACGCATCCTGTAGTCTATAATTTCTTTTTTCTTCTTTCGGAAGAATTTACGATGTTTCAAACTTTCAAGCGGAGACTCATGTGTACTTTATTCCTTTTCCTATGACTCAAATCTTCAGATTTTGGTATAAATTAGTAAATTGTCTTTTGGTTCAACCTTGTTTTCAATTAAAACATCCTCATCCCCCCTCAAAATTCGACTAGTAAAATTGGAAATCCTATATCACTTCAGACTCCTTTCAAAAATTTGTTCATTGTGCTCCGTTTATCTTTGAACAGGACCTTCAACATCAAACTTCAGCAACATGAGCACTATCAGCACTCTCGGGCGATCCACAGGCAGTGGCACAGGCATTGACGATTTTACCCCCGAGGGTCGGATCCTTGATACCCCAAACCTTCGAAAATTTACCTTTTCTGAATTGAGGAGCGCCACAAAGAACTTTAAACCCGAAACTGTTCTTGGCGAGGGTGGATTTGGGAAGGTATTCAAAGGGTGGGTTGATGAGAAGACTCTGAATCCTGCGAAGAGTGGTCTTGGAATGGTGGTTGCTGTGAAGAAATTGAACCCTGAGAGCGTGCAAGGGTTGGAGGAGTGGCAGGTGATTGTTTGAATTCATGGGCTATGTACGATTTAAGCTTAGTTGTCTGATGTTATTTTCCTTATAATAACGTTCCACATTCCTCTCCTACAGAGTTAATGGATTCATTCTCTTTTCACCTAGATCGATATACAGCTAGTCTGTGGTGCTTCGACTGATCTTCTGATTTCTCTTTTACTGACGTTGTGCGCTGCTGATAGATAGTTTCCTTGAGCATTTATATCTTTAACAATTAGGCCCAATTTCGCGTTACCTCTTCTTTGTTACTCAATTTTCGAACTGACACCCTTATGCGCCGTTCCGTCAACATATAACGACCTAGGCCAACGTCCATCCAGTTTTTTCTGTTAATGTTACTATTAATGAAAAAGCAGTGATATCCCTGATATATAGGACATAACTTTAGCTGAAGATCGTTTCCCTCCTCTGAATTGAGAATTTTCTCCATTGACTGCAATTTCCCTCCATTGTCTCGTGCGTCCCAATAGGAATCTTAGGGCTGTTTTTGGCTCCTCTCTTCGAAAATAGGCACGTGTATACCACGTGCAAGGGTAAGCCCGTCAAACAACAACTTTTGGATGTGAAAATAGATGGAAGCGGGCATAGATGGTTGTATATATGTTGACGGAATGACACATAGAGGTGGTAGTTTGGAGCTCATGGTAGTTAAGGATGGTTACATGAAGTGGGGCCTAATTTAGGACGAACCCCTCAAAAATACTTCCCATTAGATTCAGACAATTACCATGAGTCAGGTAGTCTTGAAGTCATTTTCTTTAATCAATATGGAAAAGATGACTAATATGATGCACATAAATAGTCCAGACATTCAATGTGACAAAGAAGTAGACTTGAATTTGGTACCTTCAGGAGATCGTTTGTTTAAAGAAGCATTTGAAAGATAATTTTTATCCTTCTGTCCCAGCATGAGTAAGTTTGTCAATTAACCTATGATTACTTTTTTTTTGGATAGAATTAACCTATGGTTATTCTTATCCATTTATTTTTTATTTTGGCGTTGCAGTCTGAAGTTAATTTTCTTGGAAGGCTATCACATCCAAATCTTGTTAAGCTCTTGGGGTATTGCTGGGAGGACAGGGACCTGCTCCTTGTTTACGAGTTTATGGCTAAAGGGAGCTTGGAGAATCACCTTTTCAGGAGTTAGTCTTTCAACTACTGATTCTTCATTGCTGAGACTATTTGTAGTTCTACGTTACTTTGATCTTAGAGTAAGACACAGCTCGAATATGGATCGGTACATGTCTGGTAATTCATGAGATGTAAAATTTATTAAAGAGTTAATTGTACGTAGACACCCTGTACTATTGCTGTTTTGCATTTACTACCCCCTTAGTTTCGTTGTTGCAGTTAGACCCCCTGGGTCAATTTATTGACTTTATTACTCTTGCTGAAAATTTGGCAGATATTGCCTTGGGGTGAAATTAGCAATTCTATCTTATAAATAATAACTTTTGTTCTACAGGAGGGGGAGCTTTTGAGCCACTCTCATGGAGCCTAAGGCTGAAGATTGCCCTTGGAGCAGCCCGAGGCCTCGCATTCCTTCACAAATCGGACAGACAAATCATCTACCGTGATTTCAAGGCCTCGAACATCCTTCTTGATTCGGTACTGTTCTGAGTTTAGCAACAGTTAAACTTCTTGATGTGGTTATTAATTTTATTTCCGCCCACTAATCTTTGTTTATTTTCGTTGCAGAATTATAATCCGAAGCTCTCTGACTTTGGTCTGGCAAAGAATGGACCGACTGGTGAAGATTCGCATGTTACTACTAGGGTCGTGGGCACCAATGGTTATGCCGCACCAGAGTATGTAGCTACTGGTATGTATCAACTAGGATCCCCTTGTCTTTCAATTTGTATAATTTATTAAAAGAAAATATTAGATTGATAGTATATTAGAGAAGTTCAGAAGGTTGTTTAGTCCCGCATTGAAAATTATGTTATTATTTCTTTTCCCTCCCTATAAATAGAACCTGTATTTCCCTTAAAGAAAAAGAAAATAAAACCAGTCTATCTATGACGATGACAACAACAACAACAACAACGAACCTTTAACCCAAATTTTTGGGGCCGATCACAAAAAACAAGGGGGGAAATCTAAACCTGATTATTTGCAAACCTGGACGCAAACTTGAAGCCAAACCCTGACTCATACCAAAAACCCAAAACTGCATCAAAGGTCATTTTCCCAGCGTACATAAATAATTGTGCCCTCGTAGGGTGGGAATTTGATTCATGGATCCCCAAATCAAATGATGGTCGATTTTCAAAAGGACCACGTGGTCTTCACAATCTTAACTTAGTGGTTCATTGTTGATAATAGTCAACGTCACGCGTTCTGATGCTCACTCATTTCTCTATGACCCTTATTATTCACTGAAATGTTTACTAGGGAGAACTCAATGCTTCAATGCTTCCAATTATAGACGTCCCTATGCATTTCTATACATGCTTCCACTAGCTCTTTTAGGAATTCATCACCAGGGACATTATGAAATTTGGTGAAAATTTTGCAGATAGAGACCCCCTATAGTATATCTGTTTTGACCTTACTGCTTCTCTAGTTTCATTGTTGCAGATAGACCCTCTGGTTGATTTTTTGTCTTTTACCCTTAAAGAAAGGGAAATTTGTTTTTGGACTAATTCACCCTGTGAGGATAAGAGTCAAAAAAGATTTCAGTGGTCTATCTACAACTACAAAACGAGAGGACTAGTAAGTTCAGAACATCGATATTACAGGGGTTCTACCCACAATTACCCATTTTGATTTGATGATACATCATTACACCCTCGTTTAAGTTTAAAAGTTTGTTGCTTCAGTCCACCTGGATCTTATGATTGATGATCGTGGGAGGCACTACCATGTGGTTATCCACCTGAACAACTAGGCCTTTCATCGTCAGTAGTAGCCAAATAACATATTTTTTGATATAAAGGAACGTTCGTGCAACTTTCAGTTCAATCATTTCTCCATTGAAAGCATATTGTTTGATCCGGAGGTTCGTTAGCTGTCAAAGAAATTTACTCTCCCACCCATCTCTAACCACTAGTAGTTTTATTATTTCTGGTTTCCTCCCTTTCTGTAACCATTAGTACTTCTCTCATTTCTAATTTTGTTAGAAATTCTTCTGGTACTTGCCATTGCTTTGTATTACTTGATACATAATTCACAGATACATGGACTTAGTTAAATGAAAGTCGATCATTGACTCACGAATAGATGTTTGTTATCCTATATATAGCTACAGGAACTTCAGGATCTTTTATAAAGAAAAAGTGGATATGAGGTGACAACTTATTTTGCTGAATGAATTTCCCAGAGATTAGCTAGTGGTGATGCCCACCTTGTTATTTTGACGTAGGAGTAGGTGAACTGTACTATTTCTTTCTGTTGGCAGCTCGTTTTACTAAATGAGCTGCCGAGTTATATGTGTGATATTCCCATTATATTATAATTCTGTTACTGAGATGTTACGAATTTTTTTATTACCAAATCCACATTTGTGCTTATATCATGTTATAATTTCCAATCACTAGGTCATCTATATGTAAAAAGTGACGTATATGGATTTGGTGTAGTCCTGCTTGAGATGCTCTCCGGTCAACGGGCCCTCGACACAAACAGGCCAAGCGGGCAGCACAGCTTGGTCGACTGGGTCAAGCCGTTGCTAGCAGACCGCAAAAAACTTGCTCGTCTAATGGATCCTCGCCTCGAGGGAAGATATCCATCGAAAGGAGCTCTTCAGGCTTCACAACTCACTCTCAGATGTCTTGCCAGTGAGCCCAAGAACCGGCCTTCGATGAAGGAGGTTGTCGAGACTCTTGAACAGATCGAGGCGATGAAGAGCAGAGCGAGGCAATCTCGAGAGTCTGCGTCTCAGCCACCAAGTCGAAGCCGTGCTCGTGGGTTGCCAATGCCAAGGCATGGTGCACGGGGTGTGCATTATTCCCTGAAAGTGAGATGAGTATTAGGACGAACCGGCACAGGTTGATCATCAAAGATTGTGGAGTGAAGTTCATTTCTGTTGTATGTAATTTAGTTTTAGTTTGTGTCGGTGTTGGTGTTGGTAACAATGTTATTATTTTTTATGGTTAATTTTACTAAACCCCTAATAAGTTTGGGCTTTTGGAAATTGACGGCCAGAGAGTTTGGGAACTCAAAATACGGACTTACGCTGTTATATGAGTTAAGTGAAAAAAATCAAAAAAAAATTGGGAGAATTTATTGGAGATTCAGTGAGACTTTCAAATTTTTTTTTTTGGATTTAAAGCCCAAACGCCCAAACTTGTGGGGGTTCAGGGGATTTTACCTTTATTTTTTAAAGAAAATATATAGGGGCTTTGGGAAAATTTGTGATTATTTGTATTCATACTGGACTGGATAATGTAAACTAATTTAAATGAGAAACTGAAGGGAGCCCTCTCATCTCAGCACCTTAAATCTTTAATATATTGGGATTAGTCTCTCAAATCATTGAAATTGGTATTAGGGGCGCAATCTGACAGGCCTCCTCAAACTAAGTCCCTCAAACCATTGAAAGCGCTGTTAGTCCTCAAATTCTTGTAAGTTTGTTCCAAGCTAATCCCTCCAATCAGAAGTACCAGTGGCAAGACCCGAGAATTGGGGGACCTAATAACAATTTTAATGATTTGAGCGGCTAGGCCAAATATTAAAGATATAAGGTGCAAATTCCAAAAAAAAAACCAATTTAGTAATCGACGTTGTCAACGTCACGCAAACCAGTCAACTTTACAGATGGACGTCTATCCTCCACTGAAGAAAGTTGATATTTTTTTACTTTCAGGGGCTGTTTGGTTCGCTATTATAAGGGGTGGAAAACTCAGAAAACCCATCCACGTCAGATTTTTAACCCTCCACGTCAGCTTTTTTGTTTCCGTCCATTTCTTTGTGCCGCTTTGGTTCGCTCGAATGAAAGAGGGAAAACTCTGCTGAAATCGCCGCCAACTAAGATTTTTTTCCTTCTCCGATTTTCTTCCTCAACTAAGTGAAATTGATGAAAACTCTGGCACGTCAGATTTTTTTCCTTCTATGCTTTGTTTACAAAAGTTTTCCTTTTTTTTCTATACGAACCAAACACAAGAAAAATAAATACATTGGTTTCCCATCATTTTTTATGTGCGAACCAAAGCAAAACAATCTATTTCTTGGAAAAGTTTGGAAAACTCAAAACTCGTGTTTCTTTACATGGAATTGCATTTCTCTATATCAAGGAAACGAACCAAACAGCCCCTCAATATAATAAGTCAAAAATGAAGATAGACGACCCTTGGGTTGGCGCAATGGTGTAAAGCCCTGTTGTACTCCTGTGAGAAACCGAAAAGAGAGAGAGAGAGAGAAAAGAAAAAGAAAAAGAAAAAGATAGGCGTTGGTGTTTGACGAGACAGCAGTCTCCTTCAAGTCGTTGCTCTTTGAAATTTTGTTTCGTCTTTCTTGGCAAAATAAGCCAGTCTTAATGTAGTCTAGATTTTTTAAACCAAGTACCTGCGTTAATAAATAAGAAGGTCAAAGGCTTACGAAGTTACGATGCTATAGATTTATTCAACAGAGAAAACGGAATATTAAATTACACCCTGAAAGCAAAAAAAAAAGTTTGTATCTTCGAAGAAAATGTCGTGTTGAATCTTCATCGTATTATCTACGTCAACACATCTTTTTAAATAGTTTTTTTTTGAGAAAAGTAATGTGAACTTATTACATGGAACTAACAACCGCAATTGCGATGAAATATCCCAATTACATGCAAATTGTAGTTGCAACTTTTACACAATGAACAAAATAGCTACCAACTAGCTTCAACTCCCTCGTCTTTAATATAACTACATAAACATACAACCATAATACCTCCAAACCAACTTCAATAGATTAGAAGACTTAGGAATCATATACTATTCGAAATGCATTGATGATCATATCCTCTCATTCGCGTCAGAGCCAGATGGCCCTTCTAAACGAAGGTAATCGTACATAATCCCCTGAAAAGGGCTCGTGCTCCTCGATTGTGTGAGGAAAATAGTATTCTCGCCTTCAACAAGCCAAACGCTCTTCACGTCGATGCTATACAACCGATATAATCCATGGATTCCATGTCTTGCAATCGAGTTGTCTCTGCCAATTAGCCCCGTTGAAAAATGAGGAGGATTTATATTCAAATTGTTGAAGCGGACCTTTGACAAAGAGAGAATTTGTTTCGTTAGCTTGACACGAGATGCAAATTTTGCAGAAAGTGTGAATAGAATTTTTATGTATATTGTAGAGGATATTTTACTTGTAATTCTGAATATGTCGCTGATGCAATGGCGATCCTTAGCTTGTAACTTCCATTTTGGTAAACGGTGTCAAGTTTGAATCTTATTTGCCAAGTGGTCGGAATATAGGAGGTTTGATCGTCACTCTTCCTGTAAGGAAAGGATAACTATGAATGAAAATACTGCTAACTTCTGAATTTTGTTTTATTCACACCAACTAACATGTATGCTTCATGTAACTATGGCAAAGAACATGAAAAAGGGGTTAATTACATATACACCCCTTGTATGATGCCTAAGCAGAAACATCTCCCCATGATTTATGTGTCATGTGGGTGTCATATGACATCAAATTGCACAGAAATCCCCTAATATTTCAGTCAGAGGGACCCCATATTCTTTTATAAATGTTGAACATATACGCCTTATGTACAAGTACAGATAACGGAGAGATAACTGTTTGAGCTTAGACATCAGGGGTCTTAAGTATTAATAAAAAAAAAATTTAGGAGTAATACGTTGCTACCCCTCTACAGTACAAAACCTTGATATGAAAATACTTTCAACTCAATTACAAGAAAGCCTTGTCAATTAAAACAAAACAAGCAATAAGTAATGCAAGCCTTGAGCCAACCTCACCTTGTAACTTGGGCAAAGAACCAATCCTTTGTGTAATCACTCTCACCAACAGTATAAACAAGGTCACCATCTGGGTATAACTCTGCATATCTCTCCCATAAGCCATATTGCCTAAACCTGAAAAGAAAAGTAAGATATTAGTGAACTACTTATTATTTAAGAGGCAGTGAGTACATGAGCATATTTAATGTAACAGGGTATCAAACTAAACAAAGTTGTATCAATTACTTGTCAGGATGATTTATATAGAGCCTGTTAACATAGTTGGGGTTAGGATCCGGAACATAGAACTCAGCAGCAGAACGATCAGGGATACCTATCTCCCATAAGGTAGGACCATCTCTTGGAGGCGCATATACAATATCCCCCAAATCAATAAAACATCCTGCTTAACAAAATGCAGAAAAGTCATAAGATTTCCTGCATTATTTTCAAGGTTACTTGTGGATAGACCCCCTCACGATCGCCCAATTGCAGATTGACGCCCAGTAGTTCTATTGTTGCAGCTAGACCTCCTGAGTGAAATCTTTTTGACTGTTGGAGGTATATTTGTCAAAAAATAAATTCCACTTTCGTTGAGGACAAAATAGTCAAAATCACTTAGAGGGTTTAGCTGTCACAATAGAATACAGGGGCTCTATTCGCAATTGGGCAATAGTACGGGGGGACTATCCCCAGTTAACCCTATTTTCTACTAAGATATCTAAGGTGTGCATAGACATGTACTTTGTGAGTAAGAAGCAACAGGAAGATATTTACCAGAGGTTATCGATATAGTTGCGTCAAATTTATAGTCTCCAATAAAACCAGGAACCCATGCATAAAGATTGTAGTCTCCAGTTCGAACATTGCTAATGGTGAAATTTCCAAAAGCATCGGCCCTAGTCCAAAATTGGTAGCCCTGAAAAGGTGTTGAGATTTAAGCTTGTGATCAGTGATTTGACATTTCAACTGCAACAGGACTAATAAAAAAAAATGAAATCTGCATGTCATTATATCATTCTCATGTTGACCTTGCATTCCCTTTGCCATGACCCGGTATCTCCTGGTAAAGCCAAGCCAACATACGCAGAATCTGCATAGATGTAATCATCATCTGCATGCCTAAGAAACAAAAAGCAAATCAGTGCTGCAATATATTTTTTAAGAAACAAATAGCAAATCAGTACTGCAATAAATTTCTTACTACAAGAAATTTATCAAACATAGAAATTTATGGTGTATTCGGCATAAAGAGACAATACCTATCACGGATAAGCAGTCTACCAGTAACAGAACCTCTCTGCTCAATTGTTGGATAGTCCTCTGACAGGGGAAAATTATAAGGCCAACTATCTACTTCAATCTGCATCTGAACCACCAAATATGAAACAAATATAATCTTCAAGGCATCAGTATGAAATTATTTAAGATTGTACATCACTTGGGCGTGCACTTTTACTCTATTGCATTTCATCATCGACTATTTAAATAGAACTCATGGAGATCTCTCCACCAAAATAAAAACCAGATTTCAATGATAGGATTTCAGATTACAACCTGAATTTTGGCGTCCTCCCAAAGAAGCTGTGGATCTGTAAAAATCCATGAAGAATTAAGGTACATAAACACCGGGCCAAAAACCTTTTTCCAGTATTCTCCACCTCTAAATTTTGGCACGAGGTCAGCCCCAGAATAATGAGCACTGAAAAATATCTGAATGCAAACAAGTCAAGAACACATATACAATGCCAAGGCACACAAAATACTCAACATTGATAAACTACAAGCTCATATATCATGTGACAGTTATGAACATCATCCCACACATATAAAATACAAAGTTGTCTGACCATAAAATTAGCACGTGTAATAAGAGCATTAAATGCCCAAATTAGAAGAAGTGATAACATTATAATGAATGGAGAGGAATAGATGTAAACCTAAGAGAACTTGGCTGGAAATAGTTGACAATATTATAATGACGAACTTAGTGGAGGATAAGAGAACTGAATGGAAAAATAGAAATCATGTAGCTGACCAAACAATTTGGGATCTAGACTGCTGTTGTAGTAGTAGTAAGAATAAGTTATGTAATGTACATATAATTATCGAGATATGTGGTTAAAAGTAAATGACCTTTCCATTATATGTCTTGGGAGTAAAATAAGGAATCAATTAAGTAAACTACACTTACAGCAAGTGTAGTGGGACCGACATGCGAAGTAAGATTTTGCTTGACGGGTCCTCCAGTTCTGAACTCATTGCTAGGTGTGATCTGCCAAAAACCAATCGGTGGATCAAAAGAAACCCAACCATGAACCTTGTTGTCCTTGTTTTCTATCGAGTATTGATATTTGTCATCCACCTAGGCAAAATATCCATAAACAGAAACGTTAGAAATCTGATCAATCTTGCATTGAGAGGTCTCTATATGGGGGCTCTAATTTACCTCGTCTCTGAGTTCTGGATTGATCGGATTCGTCAGAAGGACGGCTTCAGGATATGCTAATTGCTGACCCCTCCCAGGCAAACGGTCATCAGGCATGGGCATGATCCTCTGTCTATTATCTGCTAGTGCCATGTACTGAAACCTATTAAATTTAATAGAAAATGTCATGGATACTCGTACATATCGAAGCCACTAAAGCACGGGACACATATTCAAAGTTGTAAGGGAATTGAGCTTGATCTAGATTGATCATGTCCCGTTAGATTGGACTCAATATTCATGTCAATTTTCCTTAAGTTGCTATCAGTTCAATCACTTATATACTATGATGCATGAGACTTTCCTTACCAAAAGAATTTGTGGGTGCAGGATTGAACGTGTAAAATGCATGTGTCGATAATTGAAGTAGAGAAATAGGTCAAAAAACTTGTTCATGAACATTAGGGGTATATATCCCAATACGGGATCAAAAGGATTCAGAAGAATTTCAGGCCAAAATTTGGGCTGTTGCTCCATAAAGAAACTATTGTTGCAATATTTGTTATGAGGGAGCGGTCTTCTAAAGTTCTTGCACTGAAAATAATAAAAAAACATATCCCAAAAATATAAGATCTAACTGAAGTAAGGCTAAAATCAGTTTACTTGTCTTTTCTAAGCTTGAATGCTACCCGGGTCTCTGCGATATCAAAATCAGGCCATCCTTCCAAGTGTTCATAAATTGCATAAGTATAGAAGCCTGAAGATCCTCGGAGAACTATAAACCTACAAAGTTTAAAAGGCATCAGCAGTTATCTCCTAACTATCAAAGTTCTGAAACAATTTATTATCTGAAATACCAAAAAAATGAAGCAGAATTAAGCAAGATATTTACAAACCGCTTGTCAATGTTTAAAGGTACAAGAGTGCCTTTTAGGGAAGGATCCCACATCCTGGTGAATGAAACCTCCACTCGATTATCATCTTCAGCTATTATCCTAAAATCAGTACCTTTAATCCTGTAAGAGTGTGTATTTCAGTATTGGAAGCATTTTTATGATAAGAAAAAAACCAGTAAAAGGTATTTACTCACACATCGAATATTCCATTGCTTCCAGGTTCACTCCAAACGAGATCCCAGTACCTACATGATCATTTAATCACACTGTTGGCCTCCGATTAATTCAATATTTCCATGTCTATATGTTAAAATAGCCATTCCTATGATCGTAATGGACATTGCTACTTTTGATCACTAGTGATATTTGATCTAAAATACCTACATTATACCACACAAATATTACATAACTAGGTTCCTAAATAATAAACTGATAGTTTGTTGGTTAACATTGTATGCAGATCAACTTTAGCAATGCTTAGGAGGTAAGTAAATAAAATAACATAGTGAAATAAGACCATGAGGATATCTAACACGAAAATATTGAGAGACCAGAAAGACTAAAAAATATTATAAAAAAATCCCCTCGTAATGACAAAGGGAAAAAAAAAATCTCCATTTTGGAAAAGGAAAAAAAAAATCCCTCCACCTCTCTCTTTCTATATCAGTAACCTGGGTGTCTATAGGCTGGGGTCTTTTTTTATTGAGCTCTCATCCTTTTTCTTTAAAAAAAAATGGATATCTTCAACTCCATGAGTGAGATCCTTGTTGGAAGATTTCATATTGTTTGTTGCCTGCTAAGAAGATGTCTAGATTCAACGTCTTAGTTAAATATATTATCCTACTATTTAGGACTTTCCTCTATTATAGATTTATTTTTCTTATTAGAGTTTTACTTTTATAGATATCCTACTGTCAAAGAACCTAACCATCACCAAAACTCCAAAGTTGTAGCGAGGGTTGAGGGTTATTGTTTTATATTTTATCATGCCTCGCAGGTTGAGCGGTCTTTTTATAGGCTGAAATTTAGACTCACGTAGCGGTATCAAAATTTTTAAAATCAGCATTAAATTCACGTGCAGTGGGATTAAAACTTGGGTTACTCTGATACCATGTCAAAGAACCAAATCATTACACCAAAACTCTGAAGCTGTAGCGAGAGTTGAGGGTTTTTTTTTATGTTCTAACATCTACAAAATGTATGAATATGCGTATTCCCCTCTTCTCCACAATTAACGAGAATAGAAAAATGCTTGTCCTCTAGACACACATACACACACAACCACACACACTCACACCCACAAAACAAAAAACGAGAAGGCCTTTAACTCTACCTAATTTTGTTAAAGATGGGACTGCTCTGCAATTGCGGTCTGCGACTAGTTTATAAACAAGGAGACGTACAACATCAACAACTACAGCAAATTATAAATTTATGTTGACAAGCAACTAGCATCAAAAATACATAAAGAAATAAGTAAATAGATATTCTCAAGGAACAAGCTAGAAAGAGAAAATCTGCCCTCTGTTATCTTCTTTGTTCAGAACCTCCATCAAATTATCCACACCATTATACTGAACTCCAGTGACGATCCCGTCGGGCTTCGACAACGTAAGTTGCAGTATCCCATTGTCAATTGTCACCTACAACCTCAATAATTCACTAAAGTTTCAACCAAAACAAAAAATAAAAAATAAATCCAAACCCGATAAAATTGACGCATACATATCGATCTTGAACAGAAAGGCGAACCCCAATCGGCGACATCGTAGCAGGACCACCCGATGTGCAGCAATTTTCTATGACCCTCCTTCAGAATTTGCTCACAAAACTGTTATAATCCGACAAAATATGCGATTTCAAGAAATGGGCAGTTTTTACAGTTGAGAACGGGTACCTTAGTTTGCGAAGAGGACCCATATGTGCTGTTGAAATTGTGTGAGGGTTTTGTATAGGGTTTTGCTTGGATTGGAGGCCAAGCATCAAGCTCCTCTTCAAAGCTACGATCTCTTCGCAGAGGAGGAGGGGGGACTGGCTTGGTCTCCTCTCTGTGTGGGTTTTTGACACTTGTCATGCATTTGTGATGGTTTGATCATTTTTTTATTTATTTTTTTTTGTCAAATTTGGGTATTGGATATTGGGAATTGAGGGGTTATTGTTGGATTTTTATATCTTTTTTTCTAGGGTGAAGTGCGGCCCTCTCTGTCTTTTTCCTGTTTTCTGCAAACATGGGATTTTGCTATTTTTTGGAGTTTGTGGCTCGGTGCGGGGGAATCAATATACTTGTGTTTGAAAAAGTTGGTGTGGTGGAAAAAGTTGCAGATAACTAATTGAAGGGAAAATTGCCTCCAGCTCCCTCGAAAGCTTTAGAGCTTTCCTCATGTTTTGACAGAGTAAAAGATGAAAAATCTAATTGCCTATTTTTTTGTTAGCATAAAACAGCTAATATATCCTAACAACCGACAGCTGAAGCTAATGACCAACAACTAAAGTTAACAATTATTTCTTATTTTTAGGACAAATTTTCAAAACCGACCTTGTTTTGAATTTTATTCTTAAAAAAGATCCGTTTCAAACTTAATTTTAAAAACAAACCCAGTTGGTTAAAACTGGGTCGGTTTTTAAAAAAAAAGTTCACGGGAGTTGAAGTCCAGTAAATTTTTTCATATAACAATTATTTCTTGTTAATTTCGACTATTTTTATTAACTTCAGTTACTTTTGTTAATTTTGCCTATTTTTTGTTGATTTTTACATGTTTTTTAAACTTTAGTTGTTTTTTTTTGTTAAATGTAAATATTTTTGTTAACTACAAAAAAAAAAAATTTCAACTTTAATTATAGTTTGTCCAACTTTTATTATTTTTTATTAATTTTAGATGTTTTTTATTATCTTGTTGCTTTTTATTAACTTCGTTGTGACTTCGAAGAAAAGACACGGAGGATGAGGAGAAAGAAAAAAGACGAAGGTGGGTGGAAGTGGAAGGAAGAGGGAGGAGGAGGGGAGAGAGAGAAATCATAAACAGGAGGCGAAGGAACGAAAGAAGAATAAAATAATTATACACGGTAATGTATAATTATTTCTTTTGCACAATTGATTATCAAATAAAGTTAATTACATAACAAGTTAACAACACTTTGAATCATATTTAGATTAAAATATAGTATTTACAATAGCATTCTTCTTATTCTTCATTTCTAGAAACTACTTCATTATTATATCTTCCTCACCAATGTTACAAAATGTATCCGTGGACCCTTGAATTCCATGCTTTGGTTTACCAACAATAAAATTATCTTCCATATTCAGGATCGTTGTCTCATGCAAATTACAAAAATCTCGAGAAAGAAACAAGCGAATTCTTGTTTGTTTGAGAATTTTACACATTAACCCTTATAGTTTAGAAAAGTACTATATATTAATGGGTTGGTTTGCATTTAAATACCGTATAATTTCCTCTACTTTACAGTTATACACCCTCTCTTGTTTTTCGCAGCACTTGTATACCCTAAAGTTTTTAAAACTTGCACTTGAATACTCTAATGTTTCTAAAACTTGCACTTAAATACCTTCAATTATGCAAATGCAATAATTTCCTCTGAAAAATTCTCATGTGACACTCACATACTAATGTTAATTTTAGAATATTTTTAACTCTTAATATTTGTCAGATTAATATAGACATATCCAAATCCTATTTTAAAATAGAATTAGGATAGTTTAAGCAGTAAATTTAACAAAATAAAGGGTTAAAAAGTTCAAGTGTAAGTTTTAATCCTATAGGGTATATAAATGCTAGTTTAAAAACTATAGGATATATAAATGCAAGTTTTAAATTTTGAGGGTATGCAAGTGCTGCCAAAAAGAGGTGAGGGTATATAAGGAAAAATTTTAAGAGCTTTAGGTACCATTTGGAAAAAAGGTTAAGTGAGGGGTTAAGGAAACTTAACCCCTTCTTAATCCGCCAAACACAAAAAATCTATATAAGGATTAAAGTGAGTTAACTCTCCATAATTTGCCAAACATAAAAAATATAGAAGGGTTAATTAAGCTAATTCCTCTAGAGGGATTAAAATGAGTTAACCTCTCAAAATGAGGGGTTTACTAATACTCCTATTTAGAAGGATTAAGAGTTAAACCCTTTTAATTATAAAGAAAATAGTCAAAATCATTGTTATTCTCAAACTCTAAAACTGATCACAAGGACTATAATAAAATTTATTTAACAGGTTAATAATTTAGTACTTCAGATTATTGAATGAGCTAAGTACATTAATTCTTTTTAATCCCTCTTCCTTAACCGTTTGCCAAACGGGGCCTTAGGATATAAAAGTTTTCAATTGACAATAGTAGCAAGAAACTATAATATATATATAGATATATATATATATATATAATATATATATATATATATATATATATATATATATAATTAAAATTCCTCAACCCATCGTGAGTGTGGCCCTAAATTTAATGACTGAAGAGCAATGTGACACTTCACTACCAAGCACTATTTTTTGTGCTTGGTACCAAAGCAATATATAAAACTCCTCAACCCATGTGAGTGTGGACCCTTATTTTAATGACTGAAGAGCAATGTGACACCTCACTACCAAGCACTATTTTTTGTGCTTGGTACCAAAACATACCCATTTTTCTCATATATATATGACCTACAATTTCAATGACTGGAGGGCAATGTGACACCTCACA